TCTCACGAGTCTAACCATATAAAAATCTCCCAAATCGGAGGTCAAATGCTCACTCAAAATCCCAAAGTTTGGCCTAAGAAGTTCTAACCAAATTCCTCCAATTTTAGTCCCAAATTCGAATTTTAATGATGGATTTAACTACAAAATAATGAAATATAACTAGAAGGGATTAAGAAACGTTACCCAATAAATCTTCTCTTCAAAACCCACTCAAAATCGCCCTCTCCCGAGCTCTTAATTGATTTTGTAACTTATGAACTCAAACCCTCAACATTTCTATTTCTGCCCAGGGATTTCCGCTTCTGCGGACAAGGGACCGCTTCTGCGGTCCCGCATGTGCGGAAAAGCAACCGCTTCTACGGTTTTCACTTAGTGGACCAGAGTCCGCTTCTGTGGACACATAACGCTCCTGCGGTTCCGCTTCTGCGGTTCCTGAGAGGGAGGGCTAATCTCGCTTCTGCGACGACCAAGGCCGCTTCTACGGCTCCGCTTCTGCGGTTCCCAAGCCGCAGAAGCGGAAAGATACCAGAAGCAGCAGTGCTGCTATTTTTCAACTTCCAAAACTCTTCCGTTAACCACCCGAAATCATCCCGAGGACCCCGGGACCTCAACCAAAAGTACCAATACCACCTAATACTTTATTCAAACTTGTACCAATCTTGAAAACACCTAAACAACGCCGGAAACCCGAATTAATCAAAGATTCAAGCCTAAGAACTTCAAATTCTAACCAAACACACTTTCGATCAAAAACCTAACCAAACGTCGCCCGAATGACCTGAAATTTTGCACACACATCCCAAATGACATGACGGAGCTACTGTAACTTCCGGAATTCCAATCCGACCCTCGGATCAAAAATTCACTATCGGACCGGAAACTTCAAAAAAATTCAAACTTCGACATTTCAAGCCTAAATGAGCTACGAGCCTCCAAAATACATTCCGAACACGCTCCCAACCCCGAAATCACCTAACGGAGCTAACGGAACCATCGGATTTCCATTCCGAGGTCGTCTTCACACTGTTCTGATTACGGATCATTTTTCAACTCTTAAGCTCTCATTTAGGGACTAAGTGTCCCAAAACACTCCGAATCCCAACACCGAATGTCCTGGCAAACCAAAATAGCAGAAATGAACTTAGGGGAAATAGTTAATGGGGGATCGGGGCGTGAATTCTTAAAACGACCGGTTGGGTCGTTACATCCTCCCACACTTAAACATTCGTTCGTCCTCGAACGAGCATAGAGAACATACCTGAAGTCTTCAAGTCACTGAGTGCGCACTTCCAACATACACCCGCGGGTGATCCCACGTCACCCCAATCCACTTAAGCCTGACGACACCATCTCAACTGAAATTTAACCTTTCTAACAATACCAATAGGCCTTCAAGCCAGAATTCTCACCTTCCATCCGTTTCCAAAAGACCCGATCCTAAATCCATATCCGGTATCAGTCTCAACCAGCTATTTCAATACAAGCCAACACACACAGGGTACAACCACGCAACATGACACATCACCCATAGGCCCACAATACCATTTCTGATAGCAATACTTGCCTGAGATCAAATCCGTACCGGCCATAAGCCTCATATTCAACAGGAACTCTTTTCAAACCTCCACAACACTGGCGATGATACAATAACCACGAAAACCGCATAACAAAACACCCGAATAACCAAATCTCAGCCAACACCAACGGGTACACACCCCACAAGCTAAAACTCAAGAAGCATAGAACGGAAATGACTGAATATGAGAAAGGAAACACATAAGGAACTAACAAACAAATCAAACTAGCACAGATTCTTCTAAAACACAAATCGACAAAACATCTAA